TGTTTATGCTTTTGGTTGCTTGAGGAATACATTTCCCCTCTTCTAAACCTGGACTTCTCTCCCTAGTTAGAGGGGCTGGGAGGTATCGGAATATTTAGCTTATTTGGTCATTGTATCTCTGAGTCTTCATTCCATTTATAAATTTAGGTGAGCTCGTAATGTTTTCAAACATAACAGACTCTTGCAACAATTCTATTTTAAAATATCAACAACGGTGAAATTATCAACTCTAATAGTAGCTTTTGAAAAACTTACGACTGACGATTTTTAATCTTATCGTTATGATCAGTGTCATATGTTCTTATTTAAATTCTGAAGATAAAAATATCTGTTAAGCTAGAAAATATCAAAATTGATCAACGATATAAGTAAACAAATTTTATTTTAAAACATAATTAATATGAATGAAGAATATTCTGTTCAATAAATTCTCTTCAGGTTTTACAATTATCTCATATCCAAATGAATAATCTAAATAGTATCTAGATTTAAGGTAAAATACATCATTTGAAACTATAACATGTGAGTTTAGGATAAAATAAAACCACTGTTGACAAATGTCTCATTCAGGCAGACTGTCAAATATATCTATGAACAACTTAGAGAACAAGTGATAGAGACTATAATTCTAATAGACTAAAGTGTACTATGAATGCAAACTTGAAATTCAGTAGTGAAATATATAGACAAATAGATGGTTTCGCAATAAGTCCACCATTAGATCCCATATTAGCTGACATTTTTCTCATTAAACTACAAATTGGTCCATTGGCACAACATACTAACAAGTTTTCATTTTACTGCCGATATATAGATGATACGTTCATCTTTTGTGACGAATATACTGATCGGATGGAGACATTCAAGAGATTTAATGAAATTGATCCGTTTATTCAATTCACATATGAGAAAGAAAATAGAGGTAGAATAGCCTTTTTAGATGTTCTATTTGCAAGGAGAATAGATGGGCCACTAAAAAGAAACCTAAGAAAGTAAACTACAGGTAAACATTTAGTCATGAGAAAAGATATTGAGGAAGGCCTAACTGCGAGCAAAAAGCCCCTGTGTATACGCTTACAATTTAGAGGCGGTGAACCCAGCGAAATGGTAATACTGATGTTGTATAGAGCAATCCAAAGAGCCTTTAATATTGGCAAACTGCAATTAATTTTTTCCACATGTCCAATGGTCACCCAGAGATTGAAAGATAAATTCCTTCTTTATCGAACAATTCAACTGCTCTTGTGGAGCAAGTTATGTTTGCAGGTGTTCTAGAAATTTCTATTTTCGTGCTCGCGAGCACCTCCCAGTTTGGTTAAGCAAAAGTATATAGTTAAAACTGTTAACAGCTCCAATTTAGCTCATTTAGTGCGAACAGGCAATTACTTACATTAATATAACGGGCTAACAGCAATTTGCCTAAAAACATCAGACTAATAACTTTTCAAACGGTTGAAGCAATAGCTAATCGGATAAAGAAAACTGAAGCTATGCGTTCAGAAGAAATATGTTCAACGGCTCCTTTTACGTTAGTCAACTTCTAGTCTAGTCAATAATCATTTTGATGATGTGGTGACATAATCCGATTAATGTTCATACAACCTTCCTTTATGCATTTTCATAGCTTAAACTTATCTTAATCGCACATTTTATCATCATTATCACCACTATTATCATTGTTATTATAACACATGAAAATGCTTTAAGAAATTTATTCAACATCTAACCCTATTTATTAATTCGTACCTAAATTCATATTGATGATATTGAATATCACCTCATGTTAACTATAATTATTCTAATCATTTATCTTAAAATTTTATTTAACTTATGAACTTATTCAAATCAACACATCATATCAATAATCCGAACATTAAAGGTTTTATTTTATAGGACAAACAACAATCCTTGATTCGCATACTATGGTTTTAAATGATGTATTTTACCTCAAATCTCGATACTATTTAGATTATTCATTCAGATATCAGATAATTGTCAAACCTGAAAAGAATTTATTGTGTCTTAATATGATGGGAATTTTTCAGCGATATAAATTTTATGTTTTTTTTAAATAAAGCACACAAACACAACAACAACACTGAAATAGCCCGGTGAAATATTTCATGATACCTTAAAACGACTTGATTTGAAATTATTTTATTTCTTTTTCTCAAAAAGGAATAAGAACAACAAAGGAAATGAAGAAAGAGAAAAGCAAACAACAACAAGTTATGACCTGAACATTTTAAAGGCATCCAAACAAGAAAGTCATAATTACATTCATATATAATACAAAGTGATAGGTAAGTACATCATAATATACTGATTAATGACTCATGAAATATTATGGAAGATGAAAGAATAACATTAGAGTCTTTTATTATTTTATTTCAATATTATAAAGTAATTAAAGGTGAAAGAAATGCAAATAATATTTTGTCCATCACAAAATCTGACAATGTTGTGATTGATAGCTAAGAGTGTTTTATGAACAAGTTCCCGATGAAGAAACCTTTTCAAAAAAAGAGTGAAACACTTTGATTTATACTCGAAGGTTTATAACAGTTATTTTCTTAGTTTATGTTTACAATTTATTTGTAACGCCTAATTATTGAATTATCTCTTCACCTTGGAAGAAATATCAGTTTAATAAAGTAGTTTGTGGAAATTCGATTACGGTCTTTAGTGACCCTAATTTCTGCTATTCACTTTCATAGAAGAGTTTCGAAGCCCAGTTATATAAATAAAATATGTAGTTAAATACTTTGATCAAACAGTGGCTAATCTCTCAGTTAGGGTGGCTTAATACACGTTTTGTGCATCAAACTGAGCTTCGTAACTCATTTATAATTAATATTAGGCATGAAACAGTAATCAAATTTTGAGTACATTTTAGTGGAAAAAACTGTAGTGTATGCAAGAAATCTTAGTCAAAACACGATGTCTGAGTCAAGCACCAGATAACATACAAACACGTACAAAAATGACCGCCAAGAAACAGCGATTAGAAATGTGAGTCTGTTATATTACAAAGACTGTTTAGCTGTTTGCGAGTAAAGTAAAACAGAAGAGTATCATTCGCTTTAGACTACTTTTATCATAATACAACTTAAGATTAATGAACCTGTAGACGAGGTATGAACCACATACCGTAAACTTATAGGAAAACCATAATAAGTAGACCTAGAAATTCATATAACTAATTTCTCAGTACTAGTATTCCTTTAAGATTTATCCCAAACAGTTCTTCACTGAAAAGTTATAATTTCAAACTTTTATTGTTGAATTGAAATTTCAATGGCGTCTAAGATAGGACAGATTAATAGATAAAATTCTAGTTTCCGTCAAACAAAGGATTTTATTTTCTAAGAATACCACCAGCAGTCATATATATCTAGACAAGACTGCTGATGAAGCCCCTCCAAATAGTAATAAATTTTGGTGATGAGAAATGAATGCCATACTTACGCATACTTATCACAAATGGTCGATGATATTTGAATAACCTATTTGTCATCATACAGCAGAGGATTAGCATTCTTATACTTAAGGTAGGAAGTTCATCTTTGGGTAACAGAAAACTATATAATAAACTTTCGTCAGGGTTGTTTAAATGACCTTAACGGTATAATTTTAATAAGCGAAGCAAGATTCGACAACGCTTACTTCCGGTTTTAAGCTATGTGAACCATTCTGTCTTTCAAATCACCGTACAAATGTACTTATATTTCAATCTCTAACACATTTCTTGAGCCGTTGGAAAATAATAATAATTAGAACTGATAAAACTTTGTGAAGCTTTCAACGTTTATATTATTTAGATTAGTCTTTGCCGGAGTATCATAAAATACATCCCATCTACATCAATCAACTTGACTATATATAGTTTGTAAACTTGTAAGTTCTTTATTAACGCTTTCTTACCCTCTCCTTTGGTCAGTCTATAACTATGTGAAACAGATCTCTCACTCATATGATGTGCTTATTCATTCATCATGTTGATTAAAACTGAGTTTCGTCGAAATATAATATATACGTGGATATATACCAGGTGAGTGGCGAGATAACTTAGCCATAACGCTAAGTAGGTACACGTACTTGGAGGGAGGTCGGAAGGCTTGACTTGGCAGTCTACATATAAGAGACCAGAACAGAAACACATTTGAGAAAATAAGTCAGTCAGTTAGCCATGAGCAACCCAGGACCTGGAATCGGTTCAAGTTATCAAACCACAATAGCACGGTAGGATTAAATTACCTGGATGGAAACCGTAGTAGAACCAGTAGTTGTAAAGATTAGAGATACACAACATGATTGAAGAAAGAGCTGATCCAGGGAATAAGTCATGAATTCTGACTCATATCACGCATGGTCTTAAACCGATGGTCACGGCAATTTAGAGGACCCCAAAGTGGCAGTGTGCATCAATCAATAGGGTCCAGTATCCTAACCTCCTTAGTCGTTGAAGTCCCATAAACGTGTCAACTGACTAACCATTTTTCCTCTAATACCCTGCAACTGACTCTAACATAGCTCACTCAGTGGTCCTAATATAAGGAAGAAATGCTCCGAATACACCTGTGATCAAATGCTAGTAAACTACGAGTGTCCTCTCCTTTTAAAAGATACGTTCCACAATACAATACTATGAAGTATACTCGTCCTTTGGTTGGTAGACGAACATTTTGCCCACGCCACCTATAGCTTAATTCGTCAAAAACGAAGAAAGTTTCCGAAATTCCTGTCGAGATTTCGTCATACATTAACTCAGCAGGTCTGTCAAGGCTTCCAGGACAAGTGGAGTGGTCAACGAACTCAACTACTTCGTTCCACGCTATTACCGTGGGACGACAGATTTCCTAGTTTATTCTATTGTAAATAGGTTCATCAGCAAAACTCACTCAGAAATAGTTATAATAACTGAAATCAAAGCTGTAAATCTAAAACACACTCCTAAAGCACAACTTATATCGGTAAGTCAGTAGTAAAACATCATAATGTACGTCATAATACATGTATATTTTGTATTTTAAAAAAACATTTGTTGATGCAATTTCATTTATTGAGTAAAAAATGGGTAAATCAAATCTTCAGAAATATGCTAAATGTATGTATTTTGTGTTGACATAAAAAAATAGAATTATCTGTAGTGGGTGAATCCGCAAAAGACTAGAGAAGCTAATTGGACAAGCAGTAGAGTTTACAGATAGAAATGATCAGAAACGGACGAAAACAGGAAACAACAAAACACATGACAATAGTTGAAAGACAAGTGTTGAGGTTACTCAACTCGTTTATTTTCTCAATCTAGTAACCAATGGCCGCATTTACGAGTCCATTCTACAGCTAGAAATAAAGCTCCTGTTGCTGGGAATGTTCTCAATATTGTTGGACCAAGACCACGATAAAGTGAACGAATTCCTGTAAGATAGGAACGAATTGGTATGCATAGGGACTAATTTTATTACACCGGAAAATGGTAATTTAATATTTTTAGAAAAGCAACATGAAGTAATTAATGAAAATCATTCACAGAAGTAGAAGATTGAAATCAACTATGTATACCTTGACTGAGCTAAGTGTGAAAGGGGTGAAATAACACCCAAAACTTTTAATTACTTGGACTGCTGCGTAGAACAAGCTATTTTTCATTTTAAAGGCTTGTACTTCATTAAGTTACCTATGTACCTAAGGGTCTCTTTTACGACTTTCAAGGCAATGAGTTCAAGGTAGTAAATTAAAAACCGGGTCAAACAGCAACCCGATGATTTATGTACTCACAAATATTTTATTTGAAGTCTTTATTGGTCATTACTTATTGAAGGAGGGAAGAATAGCGACTTTTAAGCTTAAGTCAAGTAGTATTCGAACCCACAACTGTAGTACGTAATATGTAAAGATATAATACAGGATGTCAGTTTTTAGAATGAGCGAATAAAATGAGTAATTATAAATATATACGATACCTTGTTCTGCCAAGTTATCAATGTAATATGAGCAGGCATCTAGGTGTGGAAAATAACACCTCTATCTACATGGTTTCTGTATGCAAAAAATATAGGATAACAAAACAACAGGCAGTTACCTTCATTTCTCTTGATGTCTAACAGGACGGAAAACATGCTTCTTTGCTTACTGACTTCGTTTCCATGAGCGATTGAGGATGATGTGACAGTATGATGTCCAATTTGCATGCGAGACTTAACAACATCGAATGGAAATATCGCCACCCACAGTGAAACTCCACCTATTCCACCAGCGATAACAGTCTTAATAGGACCCAAATCTTCTTTACGTCCATTAGTAGGAGTCATCAATGTTCTACATGCTTCGTACCCACCAAAAAAGAAGAAATAACCAGGCATTTCTCTGGCAAATGTAGCACCTAAACCACAAGTAAATCCTTTGAAACCTTTTTCCTTGTATATTGACTTTGTTACGGCCCATGGACCTCTACAATGAAATTATGGTAGTATAAATGATGATAAATGGGCACAACACATTAGTTTAGTGACGGTAACCAAAAGAATCGATCAACTTAATTACTTACTCTTGTAGTTGTACAAACTCTGGTAGAGGAATAAGTTTAGAAAAAATAGTATGGATTGTTATTATTTATAATGTTTGTCATATATTGAGTCAATTAAATAGATCTGACCTATGATAAGATAACGAAAACAGTTATCAAAGCCTTTACTGTATGAAGTATGTCCAAGATTAGTGAAAAATAGTACGAATATTTGTTTTCCAATAGCTAGATGTATCCGCTAAATAGTTGTATGATACAATAACTATCACTCTAAGTAGAAAGAACAACCTGATCGAGGAACTAGCATTTGGTTAAGGCACTAGGTATACTTATCAGTTAATTACATAAAAATGATAAGTTATATCTGGTTCACGAAAATAAAAATGAATAAGTAGTCCACGACGGTTTATTTAACATGAGACCAATGAACAGTTGTGTGAGAACCTACGTTCATGATCACTAGCAAGATAAAATAGGTTAATAAGTATTTCAAAATATAATAGTACGAGATATTGATTAAGTAAGTAATGAAGCAAAATCCATTGTCTGAAATTTAGAAGAGTCAATCCAAAAGATACATAGCCCGACCGTAGCTGCTGGTTATGATCGCCTATCGCGAGGACTGAAACCAGCTATATTGGTTGGAATACATGTACCTTTAGGCCTTACCTTAACACGGAAGTTGATTGCAGAACGGTAAGACTAAAAACATTAACTTAAGGCCCGATGACAAAGTCGTACTGCTGATTGTAGAGGTATGCAACAGCAGTAGTTTTCCCAGGACAACCAGCATCATCAACAGTGATGCATTCTCAAAACGGAAGGAAGGGGTTGGAAAAGATCAACCACATAAATGTAACGCCTCACCATACCCCGAAGATTTCCGTCTCCGAGGGTAGGATCTTTTGAAGTGAGGAGCCAACATATCGAAATCTCACAAAAAGCCGTGTGCAACTGGCCTCAAGCAGTCGTCTCTTGTGCTGTGTCGTTACGTTCCCAAGTCGCCGATGCAACCACTAATTTAGATTCCTTTTCGGGTCCTTCAAGAAGAAATATCCTTTCACGGTGTGGGCAACCGGGAAGTGGAAACCACCTTCACGCCTCTATCAGCAATCGAAGTCAACGATCAACAGAGATCGATAAATTAAAGTAGATAAAGTGAATTTAAATCTCCAGCAAAATGACCGAAAGCTAAATTCTATGATGACTGTATTTCATAAATGTAAATAATTTTCTGAAATTCACATCAGTTCACTCCACTGTGAATCGGACGATTTTTAGCAGCTGAAGTTGGCAAACCGCTTGAAAGGATAGTTTATGCACAGTGATAACATCTACTAAGACGGTTAACTCAAAATACAGTCTACCACAACACGTTATGCTGAACAAAATAGTATTAGAGTGAAGATTATAAGCAGCCACCAAAACAAGTCACCACGTCTTAGAGTAATGTATATGGTATAAGAAATATAGGTAGGTAAAGACTCGTTGGATATGGTCCTTTAGGTACAAGAAGGCACCAAATACATATGCGCCACACAGATCTCATTTGATATGTGTGAGGGCTGTGATACTGCTCGGGTGCCCAAACCGAAGCAGGTGGTTTACTTAGGGGGCCACACCCCGAGCCTTTGACCTGAAGATCTGATCCACAAGGCAGTGGAGCATCGTAAGGAGATGCAGTCCCATGGTAGCCGGTGAGCAACAATTGGTTCATACGCCATTTGTTCCTTCAGAATACTGGAGCCCATGTGCACCATTGGTTTGGGGTCCGGTTATAGCGCCGGACATTCGCTTTTCGTCCTCCCATTTTCGTAAACAACACCCTGCCACGAGAAGGCAGTGAGTAGGACTTCCCTGGCTGGGGCTGTATACGCGTGGCCATGTGAGAGCATTTCGAGAGGAAGAGCGGACTCCCCCCACTCTCGGCCATATCAGGGCATTTGGTATAAGTAGCTAAAATCCAGATTATATGGATCAAAATCCATTACAATGATAGAAATGAGTTAAAATTTTGAGTTTTTTTTAAATCCAGGCATTTCTTGTCGTCGTCGCTTTTCTAAACATTACTCTTCTTTATTACTGTTTCTATTAATTTTTGTCTTTGCGACTGAAAAGTGATAACTTAAACAGGCAAGCCTGCGTTTAAATAATTCTGTCTGATTCTTAATAACTTATCTTTAATCAGGATCAAGTTAGTTTAGACAAGATAATTCGTTACTTTTAAGAGACTAGGGTGGCTATTCACTTTTTAGTAGTGCACTACCAAACACCGAGTTTCAGAGTCAAATATTAGGTATGGGTGGTCGGATAGTACCATTTATCCATATGAAGTGATAAACAAAGCTGTATACACAAACCCGTACTTCAATACTGAGTTATGCAGCTTGCTTTAGAAACGAATAGTGCGTCATGTACAAAATACGTGGGCCCCGATAGAAGATATTCTTATCACTTAAAAGGAGAATTCCAACCACTAATTTATTTGACAACTTAACACAACCTTGTGTAAAATAATAAATAAAAATTTGTATTCACACGAGAAACAGTATAATTTATTTGAGCTTTTTCTTAAGATGGAATTTTATAACTTTCTTGTAGCGGAATCCGGTCTATAATTTAGTTACCATTATTTAGCTAAAAAATTAAGTGACATATAAACTATATCAGTCAGAGGGACACGAATACACTCACAAATTTTTGACGTCAACCTTTATGTGTCCTAATTCAGTCATTTCTCTCATTGACTGAACTTTGCACTTAACTAATTCGGTTGGACAAAGAGTTAGACTCGACCAAAAAGCAGCTATACTACCGGCAAGTGCATGCTGTAGTACTGAGAGATGACTAGTATCCACTCCACAGAGACCGGCTATTAGATGTTCAGAGGGTGGAAGAGCACAGAATAACACCGCATTTTCAGCAACATTTGCAACAAGTGACGGGACAGTTCCTGCATAGAGTCCGCGAGCGATCCCATCTTTCGCAAGCGTAATTCGGAGACACTTCCATGTTGACGGGTGAACTTCCGGAAACGTTTGCATCTTAACTTTAATAGTATCTAATGGTTGTCCAACATAAACTGAAGCAAATCCACCTGTGACAAAAATCTATAAGTTTCAGTTAAGCAAACTACCGTTAATTCCAGCAACCAAACCAATTAGGCTATTCTTCACTTGCTCCATGCTAATATAGTGACAATGATACTTAATGTCAAGATCAGAATGATCGAAGCCAGTTTTAAAGGGGTAGCGTTTAAGCTCATAAGGTTTCAAGGAGAGATGTACAAAACTAAATACCAGTTTCCGTGATAACATAATAAATAAAGTAAACTACTACGCTTACTGTTTCCTAAAGATTACTCAAGCAACCAGTGTTTTATCTTTAAACCACAAGCTTTCCAAGGCGGAAACAATAAATAGACGGTTACATGTAATCTGTGTCATAGCTGTTGAAGGGAATGTAAAGATTTTACAAATACGTTACGTGTTTGTAGGAAGCTAGTACAAATCGCTTGAGTTCTTAGCTCTTGTATGAGCCAATGGACTCCAATAATCCTTGTGGAAATAGTTAACATATATCTATTACGTAGTTAGTTTTTGTTGTTATTCGCATAATTTGTATTTGATGTATTAGGAAGTTATTTCTTTTAGTAATTTTATCACGTTAACCAACAAAAACACGTTTCAGACTAATATCTAATGTCTCGCGATAAAGCAGTCCTTCAAGAAAGTAAACAAGGCTGATATGTTTTGGAAGATACATGAGACACCAAAATGACCAATTGCACAATTGTAATCTTAGCTGGTCTGAGTAAAAAATCAAAACCATCACGTGTAAAACCTTTTTGTCAGTGTGAAGTCACAATTGTCTTGCCAAAAAATGTAAAGCTGTGATAATGGTGTTGACCGTATTATCTTAAGCGAACGCCCCAACCAGTGTGTTCTTGGGTTTTCCCACTTTTCCGTTTCCCTTCAGAATTTCAATTCAGGACATGCCTCTTGATGCAGCCTGATGGTTTCCTCAACCTATGTCCTATCCATCTCCAATGTCTTTTCTTGATTTTCTCTTAACCCGGAATTCGGCTTGTTCTTTCCCTCAATAGGTTGTTGCTGATGGTATTCAGACAACAGACAATGAGTATCTTGCGCAGACTATTGTTTATAAATGCTTGTATGTTTTCAATGATGATTGTAGTAGATTTTAGTAGCATTTTCTTCGACCATACGATTCTCGAAGCTGAACGTTAGGTGACTGAGTAAACCCATATCCAAAATTTAACGCGGAGAGGTCAGAATGGTGAACGCAATAATTGATCAAGATGACGTGAATCAGCCATGCAAGTGTGGTTATTCAATGCAACCTCTTTTATATTAAATATATTGCTCTCTACCAGCACAAACTGCGTTCCTTATAAGTGTCAAACGTTATTTTGCTGATTGTCGCGAAGGACGAGCCAGTACACACTACGTGGTGGTTTCCACTTAAGGCCCTATAGATAAGTTAGTCACATCATCAGTAATTGACTACAGTTCCCTTTGCCATAATTTAGGACTAGAACCTTTTTAGAAAAGAAGGCTTAGGTTCAACTTGATTCTCTACTTCAAACTCCCCAAAAGCCTTACTTATTCCACATCTAATATAGATCTTGCCCAAGACTCACATGATTAGGACCTTCGATACAAAGTATCTGCAGTCAAAGTTGGGAAATACAGATCGAAATTTTGGGAAGAGTCCTTCCTCATCAAGTATGCATTAATATGGAACAGTCTTTACTCTGAAATACGCATGGAAGATGAATTACATACGTTTGTAGGACTTCTTGATCAAACCTCCACTTGCACTGATCTAGCACGAACGCACGCATCTGCTTCCCACTCAGACATCATAGGCTCTTTACATGTATGGATCAACCTAGACTCTAAGTTCAGTCTACCTTATTTTCCTACTATTCTGTCGTATGAGATAATTTTTTATCGCGTACTTTTCACCTGAAGTAGACAGGTAACTCACTGAACATATCGAAACTGCTCAACTAAACTCGGTCGCTAAGGGACGCTCACTAATACCTTGGAAAATCAAGGGAATCGCACAATTAACTGCCTACTATCAGTGTTCTTGCACCTATGGAGCGTGTTTTTCATCAGCCGATTAGAATAGCACAAAATGGCATCATCAATAAATTAATATGAGTTCCTTCTCTTTTCAGTTTTTTACTCTCCTGTACACTATTTCGACTTGCCAATGATATTATTTCACCAACCTTATCGATAACTCATATATTTCTATACATTCCCATCCATTTCGGTAAACAACTGTCCTACATTATACCCTTTTTAATGCCTATACTCTGATGGGCAACCTGTACTTTATGCTATAATCAATTAAAGCACTGCATCTATGTAGCACCCACAGTCCATAATTTGTAACTGCCAGATCAGCTTGTAAGATGGCGCTTACAGAAGTAGTGATTTCCAACAGTATGTGGAACACAGAGCATCGTGTGAAGTATGATAAGTATCTGAGACTAAACTTAGATGAGCCTAACATCACGAAAGGAGGGAGGGTGGAGTTACTGACCAACACGCATTGATGGTGTGGGCGATGACTTCAATCAAACCCACGTTTGCGAGGCAGAACATTTTGTTTGTATCAAGGTCTTTATGTTTAAGAACAAATAAATCATTCTGTGATATTGAGATTGTTCTCCTACGCTCACCATTCAGACTCAGGTTTCCAATTTTATGCTGGATTAGCTATTCTACTAAGACAACCTATAACATGCTAACTCGGACATTTACATTAAGACTGTGTGGCAGGCATCGGATAAAAAAATCAGACAATAGAAGACGTAGTTATTAGATTTATCAACACTTTACTCTCTTGATGCACTCTCCATACAAATTAACAGCCTTCTTTACTCCAACCTTGACGTCCCTTCCGTCATTTGAACTTTCTCCACCTCAGTATATATCATAACTCATTGTTGTTATTACTGCATTCTCTCATCTGGAGCCTCTGATCACATTTCACTCTAGTAACAAGAGTTGGTATGAATCTAATCTAATAATTGACCACAACTCTGTCTGTTCCACTACGTGTTAGTTATTGTTTATCGTTCATATCCAGGTGTCTTGCTGCTCCTCGGTTTCTCTTTTTTTCCTTCAGAGTCGTGCTCTGAGGGCACATCTATGCAACTTCTGACATCTGGAACAAACTAAATATATGTGTTTTCCCAAGATGATAGATCACACCAAGTGCTCTACAAGTCTACTTTATAACGAGTATAAACTTAAACGTTTGTATTGCATAAATACTTAGCACGACCAGAATTGTAACACGGTTATGCCGAGGTTGGATTTGTTGTGTAATGTGGACGCGATGCCACTTTGGAGAATATTTTGAAGACTACTCAGTATATCTGAGGGAATGGACTGGTATTCACTTTTATAGAGTATATTTATTTAACATGCATACTGTGAAACAATAGATGTTGTAATTTATAGATCATGCCTGTAAAAATGACGTGTGCCTGCCCTTGCAGAAATATATTATATTATATTATAATAGGCTCATTCAAATCTCGGGCGGGTATATGGCAAATACAACATAATTACTGAGGGTTCGCTGAACAACATCATCTCTTGACAGGTGTGCAAAAACGGTTGCCAGCAACCTTGAAAAAGGGCCGTTTTGAAACGAATAAACGAACGAAGTCGCACTGTAGAGTAAAGAAAAGAGACCTCGACGACATCAATATAGATGGAACATTGGTGAGGACGTGCTGAAGCTCGGCACCATCATAATATTGACGGCGTTTGACTCTCAACCAGCTTGAGTCTCCCAGCATAGTTCCTCTAAACGTGATTATGGTCCTTAAAAAGCCTATGGGCGAATGGATCCCCGTCAGTAGTGTTAAAACGGATCGGATACTACCGTCAAAAAGACTGAAAAGCCAGGGTCTTGTAGTGAAATCATCTCGTGGTTTGGTTGTTCAATCTGCCCCTAAAACTGTCCAATCAGTCAGCAAAGAGCACGGGAGTCCGAAATGCATTCCAACCTCCAAACAAAAAGAACCTCAACCTCAGCATATCAGAAAACCTGGGACAACGATCACAGTTCGCGATGATTCTCTCATAATCATAAACTAAAAATACACCTCTGACTTCACCTCAGTCTCCAGGTCAAAAATGATAGGATACCCTAGGGAGATTTATACGAATATTAGTCAAGATTAGAACGATTGAAATTTAAATAATTCCAACGTTTCGTCCAGCTAACTTGTCTGGACTTCTTCAGGGTAATTATCAAGATCAAAATCATCAAAGAAATATATAGCTTTTGACAATCATATTTGTACTTTGTTAAACCAATCAAATTCGGATGTTGATTTTTGTATCATAGGATAAAATGAGTCAGTTAACTCTAATTTCATGTGAAAAAATGCAGCTACATGGAAATAATCACCCGTAACAACATCAAGTGTATGTGTGTGTGAGTGTGTAAGTATGTATGTATGTGTGAGATTAATTATTGATATTCTGTGTTAATATGTTATATATAGAAGGATAGGTAAATAAATAAAAGTGCAAGTTCAAGGTTGAATAATTGTTAATGAATCATCGATGTACGTGTTAAAATTTAAGAATCAAACATATACATAATTGCATTGCTAAAACCTCATTGAATTCAGTCAGCAATAACGATGCATGTGAAATAAACAGGTTGAATAAAGATGAGGTTCAAATTACTTGTCAAACAAAATTTGCCAGGTATTCGCCAGTTGAATAGCATCTTTTCGGTCCAGGCTGTTCTTATTCGTCCATATATACAGTGCTTCTGCTGTCATTCTTTTCTTATGTGTGTTAAAACCTTTCTGAAGTATTTTGGCCCCTAGGAAGAGTTAAACAGCAAGCTCGAACTTCTTAACATTGTGCCACTGGTGGTTACATGGCTCACTCACGGGGAGTAGTCTTAGTATTAAAACTACCCAAACCTTCTACTTGCAACGTTCACCAACACTGCTGTCATAAAGGATGTTCCACTGGATAGTCACCTACTAAAATTAAAAAGGGATGTTAGGACACTGTCTGATATATCATATTCCGAGCACAATCTCATCAAGAACAAATTTAAGTAATCTCGCTAGACGTTCTTTCACAAAAGAAATATCACCTTGAACGGTGTCCTGGAAAACGCGGACCATGACTACGCAGACTCTGATATTCTAGAGTGTAAATTCATAAAGCAGTCTCTGAAGCTCAAGAACTTATTGACCCAACAATTTGTGAGACTAGCCAAGAAGGACGGGGATTCTAAACCTTGGCTAATGAAGATAACCTTCATGTCCTTCCATATGGCGGTTGCCACTCCCGAATTATTTTGTGCCAACTGAACTCCATATGCACCCGGATTGCCCACATGATAGGAGGATCAAGCACAAAAGCAAGTTGGAACTGATTACTCCACTTGTAGACTCTCAAGACCAGCTCGTTCACATAATGCTCATTCAGATAAATAGAATGCGGAAGCTCACGCGTTTCTAATTGAAAGAATACACTGTTTATATTTGAACGCTGTGAGTTTATTAGATAAAATGAATGAGTTGTGTGGGCTCAGTAATGCTTATAATACTCATCCGATAGGAATATTCGAAACATGGACATCTCAAATTGCATTTCAGGAGCTAGCAATACCCGGGATGACTTTGTTTCGCAACGGCAGAAAAACAGGATTAGGCGGAGTAGCCCTGTACGTTTTATCTTGTTTGGTAGCACCTCAAGTGGCTCTATGCATTCATATGTAGCTCAGTGAATTTGTCTAATACTTCGAAGTGTCTAGTTGGAGTCACCTACAAAAAGCCCACTGCTGACATCGAGTTTGACAGTCGTATTCTGGAAGGTTTATCTCGCTCTACTCCTGATTTCAGGAGACTTAAACCTTTCTAAAGCCAACTTCGCTGAACATACGTATATTGGGGGTGACAACTCTACTGAAGCTCGGTTCTTCAACCTCACCGAAGATCTGGAATTATTCGAAAATACCAAGTTGGCAACTCGTTGAGGGGAACAGTCAGACACCATTGCCCTTAGATTGCGTATTTACAAACAAAGAATTCGTAATTAGCAACCTCTCAGCCGTAGTTATCTCTGGTAAAAGTGGTCACGCTGTTATAGATTTTAATCTTATCTACAAAACTAAACTGAGACTTCTTACCGACAATAGGTGTTGGATTTGTCAGCTTTACGGGGTGATCTGCAGTAGATGGATTGGGCAGTTATTCGTCAACTTGACATGGACTCTCATTTGAATCTCTTACTGTACACGACTTTATGCTCTACAAAGTAGTTTGTTCCTCAAACGATCCCCGAAACCTTCAAGCAACCTACAGTCATCAAGGACCACAGTCTTCGATTGCTAAGCCGCAGAAGGCACTACTGGATGGAATACAAATGGACTGGTAACAACAGCGCATACAGGCAGTTCAAAAAAGTAAGGAACACATGCACAAAGGTAATAAGAGAAGGCAGACCACAGTACCGAATAAAGCTTATCGATTAATTCATCTCTGACCCGAAAGGCTCATTTCATTACGCAGCCTCTCTACGAAAGTCAAAACAGGAATTTATCAACTTCTAGCTCCTAACAAACCAACCAACAATGACCTTCCGAAACAGTACTCTCGGACATGTCAACTGATTCGCACTAACTATATTGATGAAAGATTCACCTGCAACTTCATAGGGCTTTGAGAAGCGAACCGGAGTGCGGATATGATGCACCGAAAAGTGCAGTACCTAAGAAAACACTTATGACCTGGAGATGGTCCATTTTGTCATACTGAGGGAAGCAGGTTCAATCTTGGCAACATCACTTTGCGTAATATTCCTGCATTCTCCAAGCCGTGGCACATTACCAGAAAATCGGAAGCTGGCTCATATCACATCGATTTTTAAAGGAGGTTGAGGCAGCAAACCTTCAAGCTATAGATCGGTAGCACTTCTCTCAGTACTCTCACAAAGTGTCGAGTTCGATATGCGACGGTATGCATGGCTACTTACTAACTACAGACTTCTTTTCACTTCAATAGCACGGTACCAGAAAATGTCACTCTTGTATAACCAACCTGCTGACTGCGGTCGATAAACTGACAACTATTCTTGATCGCAAGGGAAAGGCATATATTTTGACTTCCCAAAAGTTTTTGATATGATCAGTAATATACGCTTTGTCAATAAAGCCAAACGATTAGTTATGAGATCACTATTGTTTCACTGCTTGATACTTAACAAATCGACTTTCTAAAATCAGGGTTAACATCACTTTTTTTCAGGTCATATAATGTCCTAGTGGGGTCCCTCAGGGTTCAGTACCAGGACCTCTTCATTTCATGACTTATACAAAGGATTTTTCACAACAGGCATCGTCAGATTTATGAGTTTTCTCTGACGATGTGCAACTCTGGAGAGAAGTATGTAACCAAGAAAGTAAACTTGCACTTCAGGAGTATATGACTCGGCGTCAAATTCGGGCAGATGACAACGCACTTACATTTAACACTACAACGTGTAAAGTAGTCCATCTGAGACATGTTTCAGACTACAAATACAACTTAGTTAACTCTCCACTGTAATTATCCCAGGTCCAGAAAGGTCTAGGAGTGTTTACACCCTACGATCTGAAGTCTTACGCTAACTTCTACAAAAATGCCTTTCAAACAAACCTTGCACTTGTAACTTTGAAGAGCATTTTCGGCCACTTCGACAGAAGGACTTTCCACACAACCCTCAAAAGTTTTATTCGTTTCTGTTTAGAGAGTGGAAACAAAATATTCCATCCCTCACTCCAAAAAGATAAGGATACTCTGGAACGTGTCCGACGGAGAGCCACGAAATCAGTTCGGGGACTCAAATTCAAGTCTTATGCAGAGCGCCTCCAATCACTGAACCTTTATCCATTAGAGAACAGGAGTCTTAGAAGTAACCTTCTAATGACTTACAGGATTCTTAACACTTCTGGGCATCCCCTTAAACACCTAATTAAGCTCTGTTTCAACGCAAGCTTTAGGGAAAACATTCTGAAACTAAAGACACAACACAACAGAACATACTGTAGACACATATCTCGCTCTTTAAAGGGATTCGAATTCTGGGATTCTCTGCCGGCCGAGCTAGTCCAAGCGGTTTTTTAAGGACGGTAACTTACTGTGATTTACCAATGTTTTTCTATCCCCCCTTTATCAATAATATACCTAGGTTCCTACCTGGAGACATCGGTGACCTATTGCTACTGGATATGGGATCTCGTTAACCAAAAGCTTTTTCTAATCCGTCCAGAACCATTCGAACTATAATTTCTGATTACAAAGGCGCCTATACAAATCAGTACGATGCGACAAGGTCTTTGGGTATGTAGTTGCTTGGCGGGATGTCTTTTAGTTTATCTGGTCATTTCAAGGGTTTTTACAGTAGTGTAACGTTTTAGATTTGTAGAAACAATGTTTTTTGATCATCTCGTTAGATATAATTTTGTGGTGGATATAATAGTGTGAAAGGACTGGGAAGGACCTTGGAATCAGGACGCCACATGTACTTAGGAAAGGTATATAATTTATATAAGGGAAGTTTTGTCGTATAAGGAATTAAGTACAAATGGATGTTCACCCGGGTTTTTCTTATCCTCCCGGTTTTTAAGTATGTAAATCCAAGGGATGTGCATCTTAGTGCAGCACATTCTCTGTAGATCTATCAATCATTTGATTAGCGATTACTCACAACCGTTTAGTTTTATCTGCAAAAACTCATGGAAAAACTGTCAGGATGGTGCTAATGGACAATTGTCCGGCGACTATATTTGTCAGTTATGATGGACCGTTTATAAACGGTCAATACATATAGTCTCCACAAAGGTTCGTTGTAGTTAGTACCTTACTGATAACAATAATGCCTCATTAGTCCTCAAGTGATACGATCTCCTTGTGAGAAATCGAAAAATCCAAACATCAATACAAAAGCTTACTAAGAAACAACTATTTGTGGTAAAAATTTATTAAGTTGGTTCACCTATAGAAAAACAAACAAATTAATAGTAGTACAATTTTAGAAATCAATCCGTTCTACTAATACAAAAAAAGTTTTGGCGAACGATATTCCTAGTTGTCTTTACTTAGCGTGTAATATTTCATAACGCAGCTGGTTTAATCATGTACTTTGCACTTAACTGTGACTAGAAAGATGATTGACTGATATTATAATCTGCTTTGAAATCAGTAAACATTTATGCATTTAAAAATATAGTGTGTGGCTAGTCTGAGAAAAGTATCTCATAGAAAACATGTTACTCGGCCTCAAAAGTAACTACAGTAATAATTTGGTAGTCTTCTTAGCCAGTCAAAAATAATATAAAACTGAATGAAAATATGAATCGGTATTAGGAAAAGTTAGAAAGATGCATATAAAAAGCCGAAGTAATGTCATCATCATTGGTCAAAAACTACCTACATAATCCAAATGAAACTAATTAAATACGTAAGTAAAAATAATAATCTTAAAAGTACGTATTTATTACGATAACCGATCTATAAAGCTGTCACCTAAGGTCTTCAAATTTGAATTATGACTTGCGGACACTATTTTGGCAGATTGTAAGGTCGGTTCACTCAGACATTTATTGCTTTCGTAACTTGTTTCTTTATAGTTAGGGTCTTCCTAGTGGCTTTTTCTGATAGTTCTCCAGATGGTGAAAGCTTTTGGCAGTTATATTCATATATGAAGTCTCTGGGAGGCAATTGAATAAGCATTTTTCTACTCTGTTCAACAGTTTGTAGTATAATGTTCTACAGCTGAGGCATGGATGTGAAGGTTAGTAGTTGTAAACTATGGATACTCGATTACAAGTGCCTTAGAACTATTATTTGTACATGGCTAGACCAACGAATAAGCACTGTTATGGTTGAGGGTTATGTTCTTAGCAGCGAAAGTTAGTCGATAAACTTAAAAACTCACCATCCTTCGTAGCTGGGTCACATGTTACCCACTTTAAAACACAATATGGGTTGACATATATCATTTACTTAACTCATAATAGGAAACCGAAAATTCATCATACGAATGTCTTTATCACACTGTAAGGGACCTCTCTGCCACTTTATCTTTTATATTTCGCCTTCACTCACATGCTATCGTTTTCAGTTTTATCTCTCCAAAGCCCTGTAAGTGTCTTAATTTGATGTTTAATTTAAGGAATTACATGTCAGTTCGCAACTTTATCTACCTTACTTTCTTCATTTTTTTATTTTGTTTCCATCTCTACTAGATACATCGTACATATTCGTTTTCAAATATCTATGTGAATCATTTTTAAATATCACAGATGTCTGCTGGTTTAGAATCCGCTCAGTGTTTCGATGACACATCGGTTGTACTTGATGACTTTGTTTCCAAGTTTGCTTCTCCTTTGAATAAATTTGGAGCGTTTGCTGATTCACCTGAACTACACCAAACTCTTGCACACGCTGAGTTGACGATTTGTCGAATCCGGGCTTACTATAATCTCATTCAAGAAATTTGTCAACAGTCTGTTATTGTAAGCATTCTATTTACTTATGTTTTTTTTGTTACATGTTTATTTTGAACGTGATAGGTATATTTTTCTCTAAATTAAGGCTCTTGAAAAATACCTTGTTGTTGAGTGCAACCCACTGGTACACACTTTGATAGAAACATCTGATATCACATGTGAGATTATTTAGAATATACGTAGATTTTCGTGAGTCTTAGTAATCGGCAAACATTGTAACATTTGTTATGGGTAATATTTATATAGATGTTTTTCAAAAGCAAATGAATTTCATAAAATTGACCACTGTTAAAATGTCACAATGTTCCTAAATAGATTTGTTGTCTATATTAATGTTGGAAAATCAGTTTGTTCATAATTTACCTTCATCCGTGTTTCATTCTTTTACTGGGGATGCTCTTGTTTTAAAATGTTCTTTTATTTTTGAAGTTATTTGAAGAAGTGTTCCATTCACTGATGTGAACACTTTAAATTCACAGTAGTTTCATTTTTTCTATTTAATATTTATTTGTTTGAACACATGAACGGTGCAAGGAGACACCAAACAGATATGCACCACATAAATCACTTGATTTGTGTGAGGGCTGAAAGACTGTCCGCGTGCCCGATTCGAAGCGGGTGGATTTTTAGGAGGCCACACTCCAAGCCTTCAACCTAGAGGTTTAATGCGAAAGACAGTGGAACAACGTAAGGAGATGCAGTCCTATGGTAGTCAGTGACCAACAATAGGTTCATACGCCATGTTTCCTTGGGATCTTGGAGCCCATGTGCACCATTGGTTTAAAATCAGGGTTTTCCAACTCCTCTTGATCCTTTCAATTTTGTAAACAACACCCCCACCACGAAAAGTCAGTTAGTGGGACTTTCCTGGCAGTGGTTGTATGCGCGTGGCCATGTGAGAGCATTTTTGACTCTCCCCAAGCTCGGCCGTATCAGGGCATCTTACACCAAACTCGTTATCACATATGTTTTATGACAGAACACAGTTTATTTATTTATTTGAACACATAAATATTGGTACAAGGGGGGCACCAAATATATATGCGCCACACAAAACAATGATAATTTGAAGAGAAGGAGAAAAGAGAAAAAAAAAGAAGTAATGAACGTGGGGAATTATAAAAAAAAAGGGAGAGAGACAGAACAATGGTGGGGGAAACGGAAAGGTACAGTCAGAAGAAATCTTTCAGTTAAGGAAGATACAACCACTTTTTATGAAGAAAGTAAAAGAAGGTTACAGCAGCATCGCCACTGGCTTCTATTCTGAGCCATATCTGATAACGTCTCTAGCCACTGTGTTACACCGTCTCTCGGACCCCAACCAGGGAGTCGTGAAGGACCAACAGAAGCTAGCCCTTTGCAGCTTTCATTCATACCACGACACCATGTCATATACTGACCACCTCTCCGCTTTTTCCAACCAGTCCCAGAGTCGGCAAATAATGCACGACGTGGAATTCTCTGGGACGACATTCGTAAAACATGTCCAAGCCACCGAAGTCGGTGTTTCAAGATGGTGACACCAATTTCATTATCGTCTCTGTGACCGAACACTCTATGCCGAACCTCTGCATTACTGACATGGTGTTGCCACTGGATGCCAGCAATCCTTCGGAGACAACGATGATCGAACACAGAGAGTCGTCTAACATCCTCAACTCGGAGAGGCCAGGTTTCACAAGCATAGAGCAAAACTGCTCTCACCGTCGCGTTGTAGATCCGACCTTTTACGGCCAGACTAACATCACGAAGGCGCCAAAGATGGCCCAGATTGGCATAAGCCGCACTGGCTTTCACTATACGTGCATTGATCTCATCACTCACACCACCACCAGCACTTATGCAGCTACCTAGATACACGAACTTCTCGACTACTTCAATCTGCTCACCATCCAGAGTGAGTACAGGATTAGAATCCTGCCAGTCTTGTAGAAGAACTTTGCACTTCGAAGGTGCAAAGCACATACCATACCTACGGACACTGATTGCCAACTGATGAAGTGCGGATTGCATGGCTTGGGCATTCTCGCACAGTAAGACAATATCATCCGCATACTCAAGGTCGAGAAGTATTTCTCCAGGCAACAGATCCACACCACCATTACTTACATCCGTCAGAGCTGTTTCCAGAATGTCATCGATGGCAAAGTTGAAGAGGAATGGTGAGATTGGGCAACCCTGCCTAACCCCACTGCTCGAATGGAATAGTGGAGAAAGGTGGTTGTATGCCCTCACTCTGCCTGAGGTGTTTGTGTATAGGGCTTTTAGGATGTTAATAAACTTCTCAGGCACACCCTTCTTCAATAGACAATCCCAGAGAACAGTTCTGTCCAACGAATCGAAGGCAGCCCTGATATCAAGAAACACTACGATTGTTGGCCTTTGATAAGTATGGCGGTGTTCTAACACTTGGCGGAGGGTGAAGATATGATCAATACATCCTCGACCAGAACGAAACCCAGCCTGCTCCTCGCGAGTCAATCTTTCTCGGGTTCTGAACAACCTACGAAGTATGACGGAAGCCAATAGCTTGGACGCAATCGGAAGTAGACTTATCCCCCGATAGTTGTTACAGGAACAACGTGAACCCTTTTTAAAGATAGGGACAACTATCGACTCATTCCATGACGTTGGTACACTCTCTAGTTCCCAGATCTTTGTAAACAACGTCGTCAGTCCCTTATTCAAAAAGTCACCACCATCTTTAAAAAGAGCCGGAGGTAAGTCGTCTGGGCCCGGTGATTTGTAACGTTTCAAGAGTTGGAGTTCCTTTCGGACTTCCGCCTCATTTGGTGGATCAGTCGTCACCGGCCATGGAGGGCAGGACAGTCTGACCGATGTTGCCGGAGCAGTAGGCCAGTTGAACTGCCCTTCAAAGAATTCTGCCCATCGTCCAAGACGTCGATGGATGTTAGTGATTGGCGTTCCGTCATCCTCGCAGATTGTTTCGCTCACACCAGACTTCTTGCTGCCAGTGGCTCGGATGAGTTGGAAGAGCTTCCGGTAATTACCAGATGCAGCTGCTGCTTCCAACTCACTGGCACGCTCCGACCACCAGGCTTCTCGGTCCTTACGCAAGCTTTGACCGATTTCATTACGTAACATCCTTCGTCTGTGGTCAAACTCACGGTCACCCGGAGTAGACCGACGGGCTTCAATCAGTTGTAAGGAACCAGAAGAAACCCAGTGCTTGTAAGCGGGACGTTTCGCGAACCCACAAAAGACTGTACCCGCCATTCTCATGGCGTCATGCAATTGCAACCAATGCTCATCTATACTTTTCGGTGGGATGATAGCTAGCCTAGAAGCTAGCTCGGTTCGGTACATACTAGCAACAGAAGTTGCAGCCAGCTTGCTAACATCAATCCTGTGGTGGCGGTCACTTCGTTGTCCACTGAAAAGTAAGGTAAGATTGGCGCAGACCAGAGCATGATCAGATTCCAGATAGGCACTCCAAAAGGAGCGGCAGTCTTGTACACAACCGCGCCAGCGGTAGCTGATCGCGATGTGATCAATCTGAGTCCAGGCTTGAGATGCAGAAGGGGGACGCCAGGTGGCACATCGGCGATGACTGTGCCGAAAGTTAGTGCTAGCCAGAAACAGGTTGTGGTCTGTGCATAGTTGCAGTAGACGTTCCCCGTTATCTGTCCTGCGACCAACGAGTCCCCATCGGCCACCTAAACGACTCTCTTCTGTGCCTAGACGCCCGACCTGAGCATTCAAGTCTCCAGCTAGTACTACAATATCTGTCGAACGCACTTTCTGGAGAAGAACAGTTAGCTGATGGTAGAACTCGTCCTTGATTGCATCCGGGCTGCAATCTGTCGGGGCATAGGCGGAGATGACGAAAAGACATCGTTTCTCACGCCGATTTCTTCTCACTTTGATGGAACTTTCTAATCTAACAGCACATAACCGACTGTTAATGGGGATCCAGTCGACTAGTGCCGCCTCAGCTCTTGCGCTTAGTGCGACACCAACGCCAGCAAGACCAGACGAAGATGCCACAGGGTCCCCGGATAAACGCACATAAAACAAGCTTTTTGAAGTGACAGATGGAGAGCGAACTTGTAGTACTTCACCAGAGTCTTGAATACGGGTCTCGGATAGACAACACACATCAATATTAAGACTTTCCAAAGACATAGCCAGCCCTATCTGTTGTCCGACCTGCATAAGTGTGCGAACGTTGAAGGCAGCCAGTTTGAATGGTGCACGTGGTTTCAGAAAAACTGCTTCAGTACTCATATTCGGTAGTAACATACAATTTTCAACCAGGCAGTGACTCGAGAACGTTTAGATAAAGCTGAATTTTCACCATAGGCGAGCTGCTGTCTGAGTCGAAGCGGATACAAAAAGTAGAAATAGGAGATAGTGAATAAATGACGTAGTAAATAATAATAATAATAATAATACCAGTCATTTCAATGTTAGCCGGAGAGAAACGAATATTTTCTATAGGCAGATAGTTCATCATAGTTTTAGTGTGTGGGCTGAGATACTGCCCGGGCGCCCAGACCGAAGCAGGACAGAACACAGTGGCGACCTTATAATTTTGCTTTACATTCGTCATAAAATTGTGAGAAATTCTCCTAACTAGATGAGTCACTTGTTGTATTTCTAGCCGAATTATCTCACTTATTTTTTAAAATTATGTTCTTCCCTCTTCTATTTCTTTATTTGTATGGTACGGTTTTGGTGTCAGAATTTATCTATATTAAATAAAGATACGAGTTTAATCATATATTCATTTATCAACTCCAGTTCGGTGACCAAAATACTTAAATCCCGCTCCATTTGGTTGGACAGCTGTAGAGCGTTTCGGATGGTCACATAATCATATGGCTCAAAATTAATTACAAGAAATCTTTTCTGTTTTGATAATTGCATTAAATTAAATCAAAGAATTTTCAGGTGCACAATTTTCCATTTAACTAAATGATCATATTAGAAAACATTGTACTCCTAAATATTTTACTCTTGTGTATTCACTAGAATTCGTGTCATTTGTTTCTCCTCAGACTGGTGAAGCATTTTCCTCTTCTCTGTTTAAATTGGCCAAATGCATTGGATTGGGTTTAGATCAAAAACAGTCATGGTCTTTTAATTCAAATTTTTCAAGGGAATGGAATAATTTTGGCACACAGAAGATACTTAATCATGCTACCCATCTAACAAGTTTATTTGCAGAACAAACAAGAAAGTTAGCCACTAAAATATCTGATATAGAACATATTTTATCAAAAAATAACGATAGCCTAAATAAGTTGCATGATCTACGAACAAATTTTCAACGTGCTTATGAGCATCTTGATAATGTTATAAATCGTGCTGCTTCAGCGAATCCAACACGATCTCCTGTGGATTTACAATTATTTGACGATCAAGTTAAAGAGGCTCAAAAAATTTATCAGAGGACAGCAATAGGCTATTTATCCCATCTTCGTCAAGTAATTGGACCAAACTATATTATTTCATATATGCGATTGGTAATATTGGCACTTTCTGTTCAACAATCTTATTCAGAACAATTGGGTTTATTATTTAATAGTTCCAGTAAAACAAACAGTCTAACTTCCTCAATATTGGTTCAGCAGTGTAAACAGTTAATCACTAGCATTGAGCAGAAAACAAATACTGAAGTTCCCAGTAAAATTAAACCATCAGAAACTGCAGCTGTTGAAATAAAAGCTACTACAAATCTGAACAACCCACCGAACCCTCGACTGGAAGGTTACTTATTCAAGAGAAGTGGAAAGAAAGGTTGGCGTACATGGTCTCGGCGATGGTTCCGTGTACATGAAAACCAGTTAGTTTATTGTAAACGTTTCCATGGATTGACATCTACAGACCTCCAGTCTGCAACTGATACAGTGTCCACGGAATTAAACCGAAGGGTTTGTACATCTGTATCGAATACTGATCGTTTGACAAATGGAATTGTAAATAAACAGTCTGAATGTGGTCTTCTGACACAGTTACTTTGTCAAGCTAACCCACAATGGACCGTTATGGTAACTGATCTTAGATTTTGTACGGCCCGGATTACCCAACCAAATAAACGATTGACAGCTGCAGAGAAACCTATAAACTTATTGAATAATTCTACAGATCGTCGATTTGTTTTTGAAGTAATATCCTCAGGCCATCGAACATATTATTTACAGGCTATTAACGTAAATGAACTGGATATTTGGGTTAATACTTTACGATCTGGTTTTCATGATTTATGCCAAACTAGTGAACCACATTATTTAAAGAATGGAATGGTGAGAGAAAATTTTGTCAGCAATTCTCTGGATCTTTTAACTTCTCGCAGTCCAACTCAAAATAGTTTGGACTTTTCTAACAGCCCAACAACTAGTTCTGTGTCAGGATTCCCAAATGGTCGTACGAATGACCATTTAGCTCAAGTGTCCCATTCATCTATTTCAGGTCAAGATGTATTGAATAATAAAAGTGGAATTTTGCTATGGCGTGAGCCTGATTTGTCTGGTAATCGTTATTGTGCTGATTGTTCTGTAGGAGATGCAAGATGGGCAAGCATTAATCTGGGTGTGACATTATGTACGTTGTGCGCTGCAGTTCATCGCAGTTTAGGTGTTCATATTTCTAAGGCAAGTCGATGCTAATTTGGTTGTTACTTTTTCTTTCATTCTACTTCTCAGAGTGTAATTCCGAAACAATTCTAAGTCGATAATTATTTTTAATCAGTTGGTCTGTCGTATAAATAATATAGGATGTGGCACAAATATGTCAAACAATAACCTTATCCCACATCACAGAGAGAACCAGTTTAACAAGATTCACTACAAAAGAGTTGAAATAACAATGTTATCAACAATGGTACGAAACTAAACAATCAAGTATGGCTTGAAAAGAAGTGAAATAGAGGAATAAAAAACATGAAATAATGTTCAAACTTAAGCTTTAGATAAAGATAATGGATGCTGTATTGTTGCAACCGATTTTTTAGCATTCTCTCTTTTGGTTACTAAATTATATATACATTTTCAAAAAGTGGATGTTTTTCAAAGTGATTAGATAGTTTGTCTTTTAAAGTAATTTTATAAAACCTTACATCTACAAAGAGATGGGGGTAATTGGTACATGGAATTCTTTCCGTACTTGCATTTCGTCAGGTTAATATGTGTCTACTGACTGCAAGATGCAATGCAATATAATTCAGATAGCCAGAATTATTCGACGGATGTACTACTTTTCAAAATATTTGACTTAGAGTCCTAGCTGTATTTAAAGGTTGTTAACTGATGTCAAATCTTTTCTGCAAACGATCCCACTGGCATCAAATTTGCTGTTGGTGGGTTAATTGAATGCAGACTATCCTTGATAGTTACCAGATACATCTGCTTCTCCCATTTAATGGGTTAGATGTTCCAACCCCTATATATTTTAGTCACTACTTGGGCTTATTAAAGTGTTTTTCACACATTTTTGATGTTTAGAATCTGCTAGAATAAACTTACAGGCATCTTGAAGCGATTAGGAACCTACTGTAATACAGTTTTTCTAAGTGAAGTGTTTAAAAAATTCGCGTGCAAATTTAGTTACCATTTTATTGGGGCTTTATAACTACACTTACTGGTAATCTATACTTCTCAGTGAATATTTAACTGCTCTGTAGTAAATACAGTTGATTGGCATATCACTTTTCTTTTTGGGCATCTAACTCCAGTATTTTTATAATTCGATCTGTTACTCCATAAGGAACTATAGTCTTCTGCACCCCTGTATTTCATGATCTGTCCATAATCGATTTCAATGGACAAAAATAATGTCTATGTAGCATAACAGCGATAATTTTCTGGGAATTTAGTACGAACCTGGACTATGCTATAGAAATTAAGGTGGTATAAAGCAGTCTTGTTTATAACACAATAATTATGATCCGTTATCACGTATATATTAAGTCTGTTCACTTATTGTGATTTGTGTGTAGTCTGTGATATTCCCAAGATCCCCAAACCAATAAAGGGGTCTTATGGTAGTTTTTACATAGCCTTTTGATTCATTAATGGCCATTTTTATCTTGTACCAATCAAAAAAGTGAGTTGTTTAGACAGTATTGTAGCTAAATTATCTTGGTTAAATATATTTCTCGAATGTAAAAGTTGTGATACATTTTACTCCAGTATTTTTCTTGCATAGTCATGTGATCTATGAACCTAAATAGTTAAAAGTACTTATAATTACATCTGTGACCTAATAATTTTAGTTGGAGGCTCTTGGAAGTGGGAGTTTCTGTGACCTATTGATCATGTGAGACCACAGAGTAACGTATTGAGTGAATTTATCGTTAATCATTTAGAAAAATAACAAATATTATTATCTTTATTTTCGTTTCCTTTTTTGTCGCCTGTGTTCCACTAGTGTTTATGTATTTGGAATAATATATACATTCTTTGCAAAATCTAGCCGCCTTTTATGTTACCAAGTGCATTAAAAGATCGATAAGAAAATAACTAGTATACAGTCACCTATTAATCATTTCAGTGACTGAAGAAGTTAATTGTTATGTTTTGAAGTCTATACGGATGGCGGAAATACATTCACGATGCTATCATGCTTTCTGAATTCTGTTTTTTTAATAGTACATACCGTCTTAAGAATTGAATTAATTAGGACTGTTATACTTCAATAAAAGTCCTCTGCTTTATAACAGTCATTTAATAATAAATAATAAGTGATCCCATGGACTCAAACACAGTACCTTTTTCTTAAAGCGCCGTGTTATCCATTGAGCCACTGAGTTCTGATAGCCACTAGCTTCTGCGACGAGTATTAATTTTACTTGTGAGAGTGTATATTTTCCTTTTGTCAACATTAGAGACTAAAATCAATCAGTCTCTTTTTTATCCTTTCTGAATCCTACCTCTAGTTAGTATCCAATTTTCATAAAAAAACTTGTAAGTATATTGCGTTATTGAGTCAATTCATCCATATGCCAAAAATGAGACATTAATTGTAGTCTTCAACACGAGCAACAGGAGAGTACAAGCTGTTAGGAACAGCGTTGTACGTTTAAGTTCCATTTTTACTTGTTATGGTTCTTTAAGTCGAATACTGTTCTTAGTCTTCATATAAATAATATAGTTAAATGCACAAACCCCTTTCCTGTCTACTGAATTTTATGATCGTTCGGTGCTCAAAAGAACGGTTTGTATCCAAATAAAATATAAATATATAGTTATAACCCAGTTTGATGGTGGGTCCTAAGATGCATCGAATTTGTATTCCAAATTTGGTTATTGATCGTATCTGACACATAAGTTGATCTCAGTTCTGATTATATTTACCTCCTTTATTCTATATTTTACACAGGTCAGATCATTGACCCTAGACAACTGGCAACCGGAGTTATTACATGTCATGTTGAATTTAGGTAACAAACTTGTAAATGAAATTCTCGAATCAAATTGGCAACGTTATGCATCAGAATTTCCTCGTTTATCATCTGACACACCATTTGAGCAACGTAAAGCTTGGATTGAGGCTAAATGGGTTCGTTTTAAATTTGCTCGTCTTTCTCTACCAATTGAAGAAAAAGTCTCTGATTCAACGGAAGCTGTTCAGTGGATTAAACAGCTATATGATAATTGGCAAGAAGCATGTGCTCAAATACGTCAGGATTTTCCGGAACTTATCTATCATCCTAAATCGTCATCCTCATTATCATCAATTTATATATCAAGTAGTCCCGACAGGAAATTAACTCGACATAATATTCGTCGATATACTCTTCTAAGTAAGCGTAATTATTCAACTAATAACTCTCTTAAAGATTAGTGTATTCAACAGAACTATAGTATAAATTTGTTTGGGTTAGAGAATGCTAAATTTTAAATGAGCTTATAGTAGTAACTGTGTAGCGTCTCTGGCAGGGGACCTAAATATACTTCTTCACCCCCTGGTTGGGGGAGGAATTTTAACACTGTCGCAAAATCTTAAAGTAGAATGTAATGGTAGTCGAGTTATACTCTGATTCTTAGTGGTTGCTAAAGTGACTGATTTTCCATGAAAGCCTCTATCTTTGAACCAAACTTAATCAATAATCCAGTGAACTTCATTTTCTTAATTATTCTTTAAATAGCTTAGCTATTTTTTTGTTATTTTAGACGAACTGTTAAATGCTATCAAAACCTTATATGAAAAAAACAAGTCAAGCATAAAAAATGGATCAAGGGCACATTCGAGATTAATTGAACAGAAAATTGCTGCAAATTATTTAGTTAGTTATGGTGCTCGACTTGGTTGCCCACTTCTTATTTTATCCGGTCTTACTGGAGGTGGTAGTCCAGATGGAAAATTAAAAACTGATGAAATATCTACCAGTAGTTACCCTCCATTAATACTGGCTTCACGTATTGGTTCTATAGCAGCATGCGAGTTTCTACTGTTAAATGGTGCAGATGTAAGTTGAAATGTAATCACCATAATTTTGAAATAATTTAGCCTATATAAGTGCTTATCATTCGAATTTTTTTATAACTTTCATATAAACGTAACGAGTTAAAAATAGGAATAATTGTAGTATCATTTGTTTTAGTGAGAATAAAAGATATAGTTCGAAAAGAACCAATAAAGTCGATAAATTACAGTAGCCACGAAATCGGCATGCGGAGAAAACCTATAAATGATATTAATTTTTATGAGCTAACAGAAAAAAAACTGCGAATAAACTAAATTTAACAGAAAATAACTAGATTGTTGAAAGTGCTAAGTACAACCATAACAAAAGGTAAATATATCTATCAAGCTTCTGAATCTCATGTCATCTCCGGTTGTCTATATTAAAGAAATTCAGCTCCCTTCAAATAATTCATATTAACATTCAGGCAATCCACATGTGTTGATGTTCTATTTGTTTTTTTTTTTTTTCTGTTACAAGACTTGTTTTACTCTGTGCATAATCTATCTAGCTTCATCGACTGAACATTTTCGCCTATCTATACTTTTCAAATATGCTGTGAATACTTATATAAAAGTATCGGAAGGGGTTTTGTGGATATTATAGTAGTTTTAATAGTTGAGATTATGAGTCAAGTGAGGTTAGACCGCCATGAAAAACCTGGAAGCACTGGACGGCCGTTTCGTCCCACTATGGGACTCCTCAGCAGTGCGCATCCGTGATCCCGCCTCGCGAAATGTTAACGTCGTTGGATACCGGCTCAGTGGTTTAGAGGTTAAGCGTTCGCGTGCGAGACCTATATGTCCTGGGTTCGAATCCAGCGAGGCGTGGTCGTAAGTGCACACTGCTGAGGAGTCCCACAATAGGACGAAACGGCTTTTCAGTGCCTCCAGGTTTTCCATGATGATCTAGCTTCAATTGACTCATGATCTCAACCATTAAAGTTACTTATATAAAAGTAATTGGGGAATATTTTGTTTACAATAAGAGAAAAGTTCGCTTCGAGTTTTCTCTTTTAACTAATGTTCTATTAAGAAATAAACAGTTTGTTCGTTTATTGATTCGAAGAAAGAATAATCCAAGTCTTGTTGAAAAGTTTGAATTCGTTCTACAGGGTTGATTTTCAACGTTTTCCTCTATTTTTCATCCCTTAGATCGATATAAAAGATGACCGAGGTCGGACGGCGTTGCATCACGCTTGCCAATTTGGTCGTGTTCATCTGGTCTGTTTATTATTACGTCGACGAGCTAATCAGCTGATCTCTGATAACGATGGCAAATCACCATTAGATGTGGCATTACAGTTAGCCAATGCTGATATTGTTACATTGCTACGATTGCAACGGTTAAATGAGACTGCTAAGGTTAATCTATATGTATTATTATTATTATTATTATTATTATTTTTAAAACTCAATTTTAGTACTAATCAATATCCGAAAAATTCCCATTTTGTAATTAAAAACAACAACAAGCGAACAATATTGTTTTCGATTAGATCCTCATCAGGCTTTACTCTAATATACAGTAATATTTATATGCATATACGAAATTATTAAACTAAGTAGTATATGAGCCAATGGTAACAATGGGATAGATTACATAAATAAACGTAATTAGTGAAAAGTACAAATTGATAATGTGATGACAGGTGTCCTAAATTTCAAAAACTCAACGACATGAAGGATATAAATATGAAAGCATAGAAATTGCCGACCAATTTACTAAAGGAATTGAAAAATAGAGTAATACTTACTCCAAACATACACGACACACTTAAACCCACTGGATCGAACACACCGCGACTATATGGCTTACCCAAAGTTCACAAGACAGGTCTTCCTCTTCTTCCAATTTTAGATATGTATAATTCGCCTTATCATAAAACTGCTAAGTGGCTAGTTCGAATCCTAGATCCCTTACACAAACTAGTCGTCAGCAGAAGTGTGAAAAATGTTTTCACTTTCATTTCCAAAGTTGAACATATGAACTTAAATGGGAAACGGATGATATCTTTAGATGTTGCTTCCCTGTTCACCAATGTACCTTTAACTGAGACTACTGACTTTGTGTACCAACAACTACTTGAAAAATAAATCAATATTGGAATTCCTGAGGTTAACCTCAAGTCAACTCAACTTCTCATTTCATAAATTACATACGCTCTATCCTTGTAAAACAAGAAATAATTTTCCTATTATATCTGTAGATATATCAAACTTATATGGATAACATTCGTTTAATCAGTCAGTCAGCTACAACGTAGGACCAGGCACATATATACATCGGTGCAAGTTGCCATACCGCATTAGCACAGTAAGATGAACACCGGATTCATAGGAGTAGTTAAGTCAATGGTGGTAATATGATAAAATCACTGCATTTATGATTACGAAATTCTTACAACAGTTAATTAGCACAAAGATGCAATGAGTCCATGAAAATAATTGTGATGTAATAGGTCACTGTGTGTTTAGTATTTTTCGTTCGGGGGTAACCAAAGTGTAGATCCTAGATTGCATTCTTTGAACCTCTATGTACTTTCAATAATGATATGTTACGGACCTTCAGGTTATTCATCGTGTGTAGTTGAGAATCACATTATCCAAAAATACATTAATTACGGATTTTCCACCGGTCGGTCTGAGTTTTAACTAGTACAGGGATCTAAATAGCAGCTTATAATTGATTATCATTTCATATTCTTGATTCAATTCTGTATAAAACTGATACCCTTCGTAAGGTAAACATCAATGACTGCTGTACTGAACAATGCTTGTTTAAATCTTATATGGATAATGATTACATTTGAGATTTTCTAAGGATTAATGATTTTTAGTAACCTGTGGAATTTTAAGCTTATTATATTCCAGAGAAAATTGATAATTCACTTGTTTATTATGCCTTCAATCAGGTTTTTTTTTACCAGGTTTCAGCTTTACATTTTAGTTCATGATTATTTAAACAAAAATACCAGACATTTATTTCAATGTGAAATTTTCATTAAAAACAAGTCATTTTAAAGTGTTGTATACACACAGAGACCTTATAGTTATAGAGATGTAAAGTAGACTATAGATCATAAATTATTTTCTGTATTTGTAAAATAATCATCATTATTGGTATTATTAACAGTGGTAATAGTGATTGGGCTGCGCCTACTGATTATGTGACATTCGTCTTAATTCTTCACTTATTAAACAATGCAGTTTATAGTTTTAATTAGCGAGATGATTTATGTTTATAGTTAAACTATTTATTAGTCTGTCGGTGACTTATCGGTTAAAACATGTAACCTTCAATCACCGAGTTGCGAGTTCGAACTCCAGTCCACCTGCTACTTCAATTTGGACAGCCAGATAGGATAACCAACCCACACGCAAACAATGTGTCTTAGGGCTAATTTTAATGACATGTACTTGATAAATGTGTTCCATTTTTTCAAGTTGAAGGCACATAATGATATGAGAGGAGTCTAAGAGAGTTTGTTATATATTGAGTGAAGTAGACCCTCTGCACGCACCAACCTGATTAAAGTGTCAGACGTTCGCTTGTTTCTCATTTTTGTAGTCAATAACCCTACGACATAAAGGCAATCAGTAGAACCTCTCGGGGTCTAAACTCACGGCCATATTCGAGCGTTCTGAGATGAAAGATATTCTATCTCCACCTTCAGTAATTTGAAGGCCCAAGGATAACTGCACATTTTGTCATTGAAAGCCAGTCTTTTAAACTTACTCAATCCAATTAGTTTCGTGGTTTATTTGTTGTTATTATATTATTTTTGCTTTCTTTTCTATTCATTTCCCTAACAGAAATCTGACTTCACATTGAACGATGAAACAGTCGATGATGTATTTCGCGACTTCACCTCTCGTACTTACTATTTGAATTGTGATGATAATTTCGATGATGATGAAGTTGATGATCATAATCACGAAATAGCAAATCAGAATCTTGAATCATATAACCTCTCTCCATTACATTGTCTACCAAAACCAGAAATAACATACACTACGAATAAAGTTATTAAAATCCGATCAAATTATGGATTGAGTTCATCGATTCCCAGTAGTAATAGTAGTACTATTAGTAGCAGTACTAATACTACCAATACTACTTCTACTAATATTACTATCACATCAACTCCTACCACCAATCGTGAAATTCTTATTGTGACTTCTCCTACTAATCGTGATTTTACTAGTCCAACTCATTTATCTGGTGGTGCTGTTGATGTTCGGCGGCGACGTGACAAAATTAAAAGACGTTCTGATAAAATGTAGTAAATGATTAAATCATCTAATTTTTTATTCAATAATTATTTCCTTATTTCCAATTACTGGATCCTGGAAAGATGCTTCTTTATATTCAATCAAAATTACTTGCTGATTTGATCTCTTGTTATTACTTATTATTATTAATCTTGTACTTTATATCCTGTTTAATATGTGAACATGTTATTTATTTTAAATGGATTACAGATAATAAATGACGTCAATTTTTGGTTTCACTTGATCATTTGTCTTAAAAGAATGTTTTCTAATAGATTCATTCCATAAACTTAGTGTTAGTGATATGCTTAAAACTATCTGTAAACAATATTCCATTATTATTACTATTCAAAATTTCACAGAAATTAATTGAAATTAGTGAAATATAGCTTCATAGTAAGATGCCATTTGTTATATTGTTGTCTTATTCCTCTCAACTTGATGAACATATATAACCGGTACATTCATTACTACTATTATTATCACTATAGAAATCTCATTTATTTCCTTATAATTTGTTTGTTTTTCGTTTTAAATTTTCTTCATTTCTATCATTTTATTTTCTTGTATTAATTTCAGTTTTAATTATTCTTTTGTTTTGTATATGACAATAAAACCTTTCATTTAATATTTTGGAGTAACATATACTTCTATAATACATTACGTAATGTTTGCTTTACTGTTTTGTGATGTTAGCTGAAATAGTAGTAGTAGTTTTCTTTGTTCTTGAAAACCATGTACCAAATTAGTTGTATCTTATTCACTTAGGGGGGGTAGCCCCCTTAAGAAAACCACCTGCTTCGGTTTTGGCACCCGAGCAGTATCCCAGCCTTCATCAAAAATCGAATAATGAAGTGTGACGCATATGTATTCAATGCCACTTTGTACCAATATTTATGTGTTTAAATGATAATAATAAATTCGATCACGAGACTATTCTCTTACACTTCAATCAAAGATCGATTAAGAACTCGAGCAATACATATTATTAACAAAATTTAAAGGGATAAATTACAGAACAGTTGCCTTTGTCTGACTGTCCATCTTCTATTGCCAACCAATAACCTTTCACTGACCCAATACTATGGCTTACTGATGCTTTTGGTAAATATTTAAAATTGAGATAGTTCAAAAAATTCTAAATTTGATGCTGTGTCTAACTTGAGAGTCTTCGATGAAAATTATGAAAGTAAAGTAGTAGGACTTGACAATTCGATTTCAGAGTAGACTATGGTAAGGAGTAACTAGGTAGATACGCTAACCGAAGTATGAAATTCAGAATTTGTCCTAGTAAACTAGTATTGTTTGTTGATTATTCTAGGTAATGAAGATAGGTTAACGACAGAAAGTTGAACTAACGTAGATATTAAAATGACTATTGTCATTAACTGTTTTTACATTGGTTTATCAAGAATAGGAAATTTATGAAAGGCAAGTCGTTTCCAAATACAAGATGATGTATATCTACTCTGCTTACATTCTTCATTAAGTCTTGGAAATCAAATGTACATGCACAAGTAAATATACAAATTGAATCAGTTTTCAAATGGATTTTAGATAATATACAACCAGTATTAGTGAACATTTATCAGATATATTCTAACTTCTTTCATTACACTAGAAAAGAACTTTTAAACGATCAGTTATAACAGATTAATATAGATTAAATGAATCTACAATACAATAGTTGAAATCAGGAGTCAATTGAACTAGACCACCATGGAAAACCTGGAATTTCGTGGATTGGTTAAAGTTAGACATTAACACCGTTGGATGCCGGCTCAGTGATCTAATGGTTAAGTGCGCGAGACTGATAGGTCCTGGGTTCGAATCTCGCAAGGCGGGATCGTGGATGCTCACTGCTGAGGAGTCCCGTACTAGGACGAAACGGCCGTCCAGTGCTTTCAGGTTTTCTATGGTGGTCTAGCTTCAATTGACTTATGATTTCAACTATTGTAATATAGATTTATTTAATTTAGAAATTCTTTTCAACTCTTTGAATAATTAGAAAAAAAAGTTATGTACATAATTGTTATCACAATTACACAAAAATATTGATCAATGGATATTAATTAATTAATAGTATAACACTAGTTGAATAAAATGTTACGAAAAAAATATTATTAGGAGAGTTGATTTTTGATAGAAGTATGTAATATGAACTTACATTTTAAGTTACGAATACTCTCCATATACGTACTGTTTAGTTGTTCTTTTAGTTTTTTTTTGTCATTGACTGTTTAGTTAAAACTAAGAGATCATAAGTGTTTATCAAGTGTTGAATGAACCAAAGTTGATTAGTGAACATTGAGAGTAGAATCAATAATTTATTATAACATTCCTTTACTATGTATGAATTCTATATTCTAGGTAAATTATTTAACAAACCTATGTTATAATCTGACTGAAATTAAGTTTTTGGCTGTATTTATATCCTTTTCATTCACGATTGATTAATCATTGGGTGGTGATCAATATCATGTGTGTCAGGTTCTTCTTAATACAGATCGAATGCAAATGACAAAGTTGCAATGTGACCATTAGTCTAGGTGACTGGATATTGCGTGCACTATGTTGAGATAAGATGGTGGTTGAAGGTAGTCAACAAGGAACCTTGGGTTTCGTGCTCGCGGCCCGGATAGACCAGTTGTAACATCTTTAACTGTAAAGCTGGGTGACATGGGATCAGGGAACACCAGTTTCCTCAAGATTACAAGCAAACCATGCCGACGAGTGCCAAATAGCACAAAGCCCGAGTCCAGGGTTTTCTGTTGACTACCTCCAATCACCATTTTATCCTTTTGATTGTAAAGTTTCACAGTGAATAAAACCTTTAATAAAACGAATTTGATTTGATTATTGCATAATGCGTTTTGAAGTGACATTATTGTAGTTAAGTGATGAATACTTACTTACTGACTTACGCCTGTTACTAATAATGGAGCATGGACCACCGACCAGAATTCTCCAACCCACTCTGTCCTGGGCCTTCTTTTCTAGTTCCATCCAATTCTTGTTCATTTTTCTCATGTCTTTCTCCATTACCCGACGTAATGTGTTCTTTGGTCTTCCTCTCCTCCTTCGGCCTTGATGATTCCATGTGAGGGCTTGTCTTGTGACGCAGTTCGGTGCTTTCCTCAATGTGTGTCCTATCCACTTCCGGCGCTTCTTCCTGATTTCTTCCTCCACTGGGATCTGATTTGTTCTCTCCCACAGTAGGTTGTCGCTAATAGTGTCCGGCCAGTGGATCTGAAGTATTTTGTGTAGACAACTGTTAATAAATACCTGTATCTTCTGGATTATAGATTTGTAGTTTTCCAGGTTTCCGCCCCATACAGTAGAACTGTCTTGACATTTGTATTGAAAATTCTGACTTTGGTGTTGGTTGCCAATTGTTTTGAGTTCCAGATATTCTTCAGTTGTAAATATGCTGCTCTTGCTTTGCCAATCCGTGCCTTCACATCTGCATCGGATCCACCGTGTTCATCGATGATACTGCCCAAATATGTAAAGGTTTTTACATGTTCCAAATCTTCTCCGTCAATTGTGATTGGATTGTTACATGCTGTGTTGTATCGGAGAATCTTGCTTTTCCCTTTGTGTATATTGAGACCTATTGCTGCTGAGGCTGCAGCTACACTGGTTGTCTTCTCCTGCATTTGTTGTTGCGTATGCGATAGAAGAGCCAGATCATCTGCGAAGTCTAGATCGTCCAACTACATCCTAGTTGTCCACTGTATCCCGTGCTTCCCTTCAGATTTTGTCGTCTTCATGATCCAGTCGATCACCGGGAGAAAGAGAAAGGCTGAGAGTAAGCAACCTTGCCTGACACCGGTCTTTACTTCGAACGACTTTGTCAACTGTCCTCCATGAACGATTTTGCAGTTTTAGCCATCATAGGAATTCTGTATGATATTGACTATCTTCTGAGGCACGCCGTAGTGTCGAAGAAGCTTCCATAGGGTTGTCCTGTCTACGCTGTCAAATGCTTTTTGGTAGTCAAAGAAGTTGATGAAGAGTGATGAATTCCATTCACTTGATTATTCCACAATTATCCGTAGAGTTGCGATTTGGTCTGTACACGATCTATCCTTACGGAATCCAGCCTGTTGGTCTCGAAGTTGGGCGTCTGCGGAGTCCTTCATCCTGTTTAACAATACCCTATTGAAGACTTTTCCTGGTATTTGGAGAAAAGTGATTTTCTGTAGTTGTCACAGTTGCTGAGATTGCCTTTCTTCGGTATTTTGCCTTTCACTGGTCGTTCTGCTTTACGGTGATTTCCAGAGAGTTTCTTTGTTGTGTCATCTAGTTGTCTCATGTTTTCTTCTCTTGCAGCCTTTTCCGCCGTCACTGCTAAATCTTCCACATATTTACGTTTGTCGGTTCTGATGCTCCTCTTCACTTGCTTGTTTACTTCTGTGTATTCAGCTTGTGCCTTGGCTTTTTCTGCTCTTGTTCGGCTGGCATTGATTGCTGTCTTCTTGTTCCTCCTTTCTTGAATCTTATCTAGTGTGTCGACCGTGATCCAATTCTTGTGATGGTGCTTCTTTTGACCCAGAACCTCATGACATGTTGAAGTGATTGCCTCTTTTATCTCTTTCCAGTTGCTCTCCATAGTAGTTTCTTCTCGATTGAGTAGATCCTGAAAGGCCTGGAACTTATTGCTGAGGGTTATCTTGAATTTATTGAGTTTGTCATTATCCCGAAGAAGAGATGTATTAAATTTTCGTGATATTGTCCTTCCCGTTGTCCAGTGCTTCCTGAGTTTCAATTTCTTCTTGTCGACCAGCAAGTGATGATCTGATGCTATATCAGCTCCTCTCTTTGTTCTCACGTCCTGCATCGTCCTCCTGAACGTTTTGTTGATGCAGACATGGTCGATTTGGTTCTGTGTGGTGTGATCCGGTGAAGTCCATGTGGTTTTGTGTATGCGTTTATGTGGGAATATAGTCCCGCCTATGACCAGTTTATTGAAGGCACATAGATTTGCAAATCTCTCACCATTTTCGTTCCTTTCTCCCAGTCCGTGTCGACCCATGATCTCTTCATATCCGATGTTGTCCGTTCCAACCTTGGCATTTAAATCTCCCATCAGAATGGAGAGGTCTTTTGTTGGACACTTCTCGACGATTGACTGCAGCCTATCGTAGAATTGATCTTTAGCGTCTTCATTGTAATCCCCGTTTTCTTTGTTTTGAAGGAGGCTTTGATGATCCTTGGTCCATGAGATTCCCATCCTTTAAGTGCATTTTGTGCTTGTTTGGATAGCATCAATGCAACTCCTTGTGTATGTGGGGCATTTTCTTCTTCATGTCCGGAGTATAACAGCAGCTTCCCTGAAGCTAGTCGTTGTTGTCCAACTTGCGTCCAATGTGTTTTACTGATCCCAAGCACCTCTAGGTTGTATCTCCTCATTTCTGCAGCAATTTGGAAAACTCTCACAGTCTCCCACACTGTGCGAGCATTCCATATACCTAAATAAATGATTGCTCTGGTTGTCAGAAGAGGCATCGACCTCGTGACTTCCGAAAGAACTCGGCTTTCATCATGAGGCGTCATAATTCTTTTGAACGAAGACCTCCTGACTCCCAGGGCAGAGTTTAAATGGTTTGAATATATTTTTCTGGTTAGCATTTTTTGGTGAGTTAGTTTTCTACGGGATGGGGTCGCTAACCCCATGCCTAACCCTCCTCCTTTATCCGGGCTTGGAGCCGGCAGCAGCCCCTGGAGGGACTCCAGGAGGAGTTTGAGGGATGATTAACCATAATTATATACTTAAATACTTGTAAACTAAATGATTTCTTAACGGTGAGATAAGAGTAGACTGAAACCAATTGTGCAGCAATTCTATTGTTTTATGGAATGTTTATTCACTCACATAAACTATTGTTCATTTCATACTTGATTTGTTGAAATTTGATATATGACGAAGTCA